TTTTTTTTCATTTAGGTTGATTATATGTAGTGTTGAACAATTTTTTACTCTACTTAAAGCAACATAATGCATGTGCTCTCTGGTTGATGATGGTAAATCAAGTACTGCTTCATTAAGTGTGTCACCTTGGCAACGATGGATAGTCTTAGCTGCTGCTGGCCGTAAAGGATATTGTCTACGAAGTATCTGGCATTGATGTCGCTTTGAAATCTTGAATTGTCTAGTTATCTCTAAAATTGGTGTCCAGGTTCTATCCACATTTTTGTTAAATAAATGTGCAAATTCATTGCGATGGTTTTGACCTATGCTAGCTTCTGGGAAAGATACCCAGATGATACTTGGCCTAGTGGAGTCTTTAACTCTGTAGTCTATCTTCTCTATGACACACTCGGCACCATTTGTCATACCATCAGTTACATTGACATTTGTTGTCAAGTCATATTTTGCTCCCACAGCAACTGAAACAACATTAAATAAGCCCATAGTTTTAGTGTGATCATCTGGAATTTTTTCTTTGACTTTGTTTTTTAGGTCATCAGACATATCTCCAACAACTATGTCAATACATTTAATTTGAGCTTTTTGAGTATGTGCAGTTTGATACATTGCATTGTTGTGATCATTTACTTGTGCATTTGTTGAGTATAGATGTGTTTTATTGATGGGATAATTTTTCTCACCAGGTTTAATTTTTACAATTCTTTCTTTAAGGACCTTAATATCATTTTGGTTATGTTTTCCTTCTCTAAGTCTGTTTAATAGTTCTGCAAAGTCCTTGTCATCTTTTTGCCTCATGATTTCCCTGAGTTCAAACAAGGTAAAATACTCCTTCCAAATGTTGGTTGCTAAAGCACTGTAAGAATCATTGGTATTTTCAAAGATCCATTTATCAAATACTGGTTTTAATTGGAATAAGTCTCCAACTGTTATCAAGCTCAGATTTCCAAATGGTGACTTGTTTCCCATTATTTGCTGCAGTCGTAAGTTAAGAAAGTTGAACATTCCATTGCCTACCATTGAAATCTCATCAATAAATATAACTTTCAGTTTTCTTAACTGTGCTCGTATTGTATTAAGTCTATCTGTATCAAGTGTGCAGTATTGAAATCCCCTGTTGGCAGGTATTTTAAAAGCAGAGTGAAGTGTGTTTCCCTTGATGTTAAATGCTGCTTTGCCCGTGGGAGCAACTTTCAGTACTTTTGCTTCATCTGGATTTTCACCTGGGACACTATTTAAATATCTTGTGAGTGCTTCATAGAGAGCACTAGTGACAGTACTTTTACCAACTCCAGCACCTCCACTTAAGAATAATCTGAGTGGGTCATCATTAGTTTTAATAGAGTGTAAAACATGGTAAAAGAATTCTTTCTGTCTTTTGTTTAGTGAGCGAACAAGCTGTCGATAATCACTATCATGTAGGCGATTTTGTATAAGTTCTTCATCATCATTATTCCTTGGTAAAATATTCATATCCTGAAATAGATCATACTGACTGTGTTGTTTGTTGGTACCTGGATCAAAACATTCAAATAACTCAGTAGGTTTTGATTTAGCTGCAATATCTTGTTCATTCATGTGTTGTGTATTGGGAGCCACTGGTGCAGAATAGTTATCGTTGTCATTTAGGTCTTTGATGGCCTTGTCAAGAATATCAGAGTGGTATTCATACTGCTGTCTGTTGCTTTTGATGATTTCTTCTACCTGTTGGTATCTTTCTTGGTACGTCTCACAGTCTTTTATGAGATCTTTTTGCTCATTTCTCCATGGGATATAAAGCATAAGTTGTTCTCTACAGTAATTCTCAGGATCATTTTCTTTGTTAAACCTTACAGATCTTATTATCTTTGCTTTTTTTCTCTTGACAAGCTTCATTCCTCCTTTTAATTGGTATTCTGTAGTATTATCAGTTTCATCAGTTTCATCACTTTCATCAGATGGGTCATCATCAACATTATCGCAAAAATCAGTTTCTGGCAAAAAGTTACTATCAGACTTTTCTTGTACATTCGATTCAGTATTGTCATTTACACAGTTGAACCAGGCAACAAAATGAGCTAGACACAGCAGTTCTAATTTACGGGGTCTTCTTTGATATCTTTTAAGTACATTATCTGACTCTATATCGGTTGACTTGTCTGGTAATTCTTTGATTTTTTCAAGTGTTTTCAACAAAAATGTTCTTTCCTCTGGATTAGATGTGTTGATAAATTGAAATTCTCTTGATGCTCTCCTCATAGGCATCTGTAATACTAAGTAAACTGCTTCCTGAGCACTTATTTCAACTGCATTAAGAAATTTATTACCAATATGTCTGACTTTGTTAACAATATCTTTATTGTCAGACTTTGCTTCCTGTGATGCTGTCTCTAGAAGTTTGCTCATTCCTCTTTGACCCTTCGTTATGTAAGAGAGTATATAAACAGCACAGGCATAGGGATCCAAAACAAATTGTAGATCCATGTTAGCTCTCCAGCCTTTTAAAAGGTTAGGGTTGTAATTGTTTATTCTGATTTCGAAGGGAGATCTCTTAAGGAACAATGTTGGGCGTTTCAAGGAGTATCTAATGGCCTTTAAATACTGATGTTCTGTAAGTTTTAATTTTTCAAGAAATGTCTCAAATGCTATATCTTGACCATATTTCATCTCATCAAGAAGATTTTTAATTTGATCATACTGTTTTTTCATTTCTTTTAGCTCATCCTCTTTAAAATGGGTTTCTTTAAAAGGTTCTAGGATCATAGACCTTGGCATTGGAGGAAGAGGGAAATTAAATCTACAAATTTTGTGACCACCTTTTTTACAGGTCTTCGCATGTCTGTGTGTTTGTAGATTCACCAGTTCTCTTATTTCATCTGAGTGATCATTTTTGCAGGTTATGTACTTATCTACAAAATGTATAATCTCTTCATTAGTATTTTGTTCATACTGAGGTGCATCTCTCACCCAAAATAATGCATGTATATGAGGTGAACCTCTTTGTTGAAATTCCACTCTGTAAAAAAGGTCTACTATTTCCCCAATAGGCATTGCATCACTTTTCAATACATCCCTTATAAACAACTGAACCATGTGTTCAAAGTTTCTAGCACAGGTTACAGGGTCCTTTTGTATAAGATCTGACTTCTGTTGCCATGCCATATTCTCAATTTCATAGTCAGTGTAGTCTTTCTTTTCTACTAGTCTGCCCAATGTTTTCAATAGATGTGACCATCTTGTTTCTGCTGCTGAGAATGAGCAAAACCATGTAGGATTACCTAGCTGACGTATCATAGCAAATAAGTCTTTCTTGCATTTTTCAAAGTAAGGGGGTGATCCTCTTAGATTCCTTAATACTCTAAATCCTTCATCTTGATGGATTAATTTGTTTACATAATCATCTGATTTAAGGTCACCTGCAGTATACTTGTTGCCTTTTG